CGTAGAGGATTTTGTCAAGAACTCAAGATTCCTTGTGGAAATTCAGGCCAGTAATACTACTAGCTTGTTCTTTTCCGCTTGTTCAATGTCTTCTACAGCCAAGTTTGCTTCTTGTTGAAACTGAGCCCACTTTTAGCCACACTTCAGTGTAATATAAATGCCAGTAAGTGCAGTTGCTTTTTTGTTATGTTCTCTTTTCACTTTATTATGGGTAGATCTGTTTAGTTTATGAGGACCATAAAGCAAATATGATACTTTGATTTTATTTATGAGCATGTGTTTTGTTTTGTATAAGAGCACTATGGTTAGAAGTTTCTCAGTGTTAGTACAACAGCATTCTCAAGGAGCTTTACTGGCTACAGCAGGCCAAGGTTGAAGTTATTCCTATATTCTAGTACCATAATTACATTGGGAGAGTTACTGTAGGGTATGGCCATTTTAGGCAACTTTCAGCATTCTGTCAGCTTAAGCAGTACTGCAGCAGTTGGTTTATAAACTGTTTGATGTTTTGAAGTATTTCTGATTTGTCCCATTACAGTTTGGTTGAATACAATATGTAGCTTTGGCAACTTTCAGCCTTGCTGAGATGTAGCTTAGTGTAACGAGCCTTATTTTAGTTCAGCTTTTAATGGAAAAACAGACTAGAAACGTGGAGACCTTTTCTGGTTTGATGCATTCTGTGCTCTGAAATACATCCTATTCCATTACTGGGAGCAAGAGATATGTGGGTAGGACATGTGAGTCCAACTTTAAGACAGTTTTAGCAGATGTAGTTAAAAGTGCACATATAGGTGAGATACAGCACGTTTTTAATGTATGTGGAACAGAACCAATCTTGTCAATGTGCAAAATCTTAATTTCCTCTCCTTGAGAGCCCTGATAGTCTCGTTTTGCAAAACCTGGCAATCAGTCTAATGCTCTGTTCTGCTACTAAGACTTGGACTTCTTTATTTTTGCTCACAAGTCTCAACTTACTGTTAGCAATTTGAAATTATTTGCAAACACGAATTAATGAAATTAGAGGTTTTTATTCTTTATATGGATACTTTTGATATACACATATTTTTATTCTTTCTTTCTTTTCATACAGAGTTGTAGTGTCTACTGGAAGATTATTTCCCATTTATTTAATTTTCAGATTTTCATCTCCAGAGCTCAGTTTGACACCAAGTACAACCTTATAGTAACAAGAAAACAATTTTGGTGTACTATGCTCTTTCAAATGCATTTTAAGATCTTGGCTCTGAGGCAGTGATAATAGGTGGCCCAAAACTATTGCTACCAGTCTGGGTAATTTGAGGGTAAAAACATTTCTGGATAACCTTGATAAAAGCTTAATATGTAACTAGCCATAATTTTATTATATGTAATTCAGAGGGCAAGTGCAGTTTTAGTGGGTGAAATCATGATGCCAGGCCATCAGAAGTTTAATTGTTAAACTATATTAGTTTAAAAAGAGAAGCTGAAATGTCTGTATTTATGTGCATGCAGTTAGTTGTTCTCAAGGAAGCAGATTGTGCTCAGGAGTATGCAGTGCTGTTTCTAGGCTTTGCGGGAACAGTCAAGTGTTTGCAAGCTGCAAATAGCAGGTCCACAGACCAAATGTGTGGGAGGTGGTTAATGATAACCATCTTTTTTTTTTTTTTTTTTTTCTCTCTCCTGTCCAGCACAGCATCTATGTTGGAACTTAACTCATGCATTGCATCTGACAGGGGCTCAGTTAACATTTTTGCTCCTTCTGTTAATAATGCTGTGACCTATGCTTAATCTCTTTCCTACTTTCGCTGCCTGTGTCTCCTGATCAAAGAGCTTGGTATTGGGCTAGTGCCATTACGAACAGCTCGAAAGCTGGTGCTGGACCCTGTGGGTTTCTTTAACCCTGTTCAGGGATCGATCATCTTTTGAATGGTTCTGCTTCCTGATTTAGGAGCAGTTGAATTATCTAAGTTAAATTTATGTGGGGCTGAAAAATCCCTGGTCTGAACTCAGTCTAATCAGTCTAAGTAATTTTATGTGCCAAATCCATGGCCATTGATTCCCTTCTATTACTCCATTAAGCATATGGATAGGCTGCCTGTCCCACAAAGCATTTTGGTTGCTTTTTTTTCCCTGAGACAGCTTATCCTAGCTTTCTTTTTCATATGGCATCATGCTTTGGTTTTGGTAATTCTGATCAGGTTTGATTACATATTGTTTACCTTCAGACTTGGTAAGAGTTATTTCTGGATGGCACTTGAGATTGAAGTTGCAGGATGTGGAAGACCAAGTCCTCCTTGCTTTATTAGTCATCTCAGTTGCAGCAGTTTAAGTTACAATTTCTGAGTTTGTGTCTCTGTGTAACAGAAAACGAAGTTTATGCTTGTGCCCTATATGAGCGCATGCATTTGGAGTAGAGTTGTTCGTAATTAACAAATAAGTCTGAGGTGTGATCTTTATTGTAGAGATGGAGTAATTTATACGTAGATATAAAAAAAAGTTAAGGCTGAGGAGTTTAATTTACACAACAGGATTAGAAAAAATGCCTGAGGTTTACTTAGCAAATGTCGCTGTGAATGTATAGATCCAATGACAGGTCTTATCTGTGCTTACAAGTAGCCGATAGATAAAATATGCTCCATCTTCTTGGCTTGACAGCACTGTTTTTGCCTGCCAGACTGTTCCATTCTGCACAGGGGGGGAAATCTAATTAAACGGGGAAAAATTGAATTTGGAAAAGACGTAGTATGCCATCTTGTTTTTCCCCTTACTAAATGCAGGATTAGTCGTGATTGCATGTCATGGTTATGCCTTATGTAAATGAAAGAATTGCTCTTTGTTTCTCCAAGTGATCACTTGATTTAAGAATACTCTAGTAGCAAGAGATGACCCAGGTTGTCTGCAACATAGAATTTCAATCGGATAGTCAAATATACACTGATTATCTAGATGTATCTATCTTAATAAAATTGTAAGTAAAGGAGCAATGGATTTAGCCTGGTTTTTTTAATTTTTTTTTTTTCCTTTTTCCTTTGTAGCTGTTAAAATCTGATTCCGAGAGGCATCTTATTCCCAAATTTTTGCTGAATGAGGAATTTGACTGGCTGTGTGGGAAGGGGGAGGGGAAAAAATGGCAAATGGGAAGGCATACCGCTTGAGTGCCAGAAGTCATTGCAGGATCTGAAGTTGTTTTTTCCTTAATAACATTATTTAAAGACAGATCAGCATTATGGATTTCCATTAATAAGAGCATCACTAGAACAGAGACAGCACTGCTGCTAGGCTGTTGCAGTCAGTTGGCATCATGTTTAGCTCTAAAAGGAAAAATGTAATTATTGTGGCAGCAGGGGCTGGCAGGGTGCCTCTTGGGGAAGGAGGAGCCAGGACAGAAAGCTGGTTACCGGATGGTGATTTCAGTAGGACTAGGTGAAGCAAAAATAGCTGGAAATGGGAGAAGCTGCATTTAGCAAGCGGGTTGAAGAGGTGATTTTTGTTGTGATATAAGGACAGAGCTGGGGTGGCGTGGAGAAGACAGCAGTGATTCCCTGCTTGGGCGGGGGGGTTGAACTAGAAAATCTTGAGAGGTCCTTCCCATCCTCAGCATCTCTGAGATTTGTGTGGAGGAGTCTGCAGACAGGTTTGAGAGTGCACGTGCAAGCTGTTTGCAAGCCCGCTCCTTTCCTGCTCTTGTGTTCCCAAAACTGCTCTGCCCACCATCAGAATTTGTTTTCCTGGTTTTGCTGAGCTTTCTCTCTCCAGCTTCCAAGCTCAGTCCAGCAGAGATGTCATTGCTGGAGGGAGCAGTGAGAAGAAAACCACTGGCTGTAGGAAGATCATTGGTTGCTCTTATCTACCACAGCACTTCATTCAAGTGTTTGTCCCCCTTCCTTTTCCCCTCTGAAAGTGTTTAACATCCCCTGGCATTTGTGTAGATACATAGGCAAAAAGGAGCGTGATGACAACTTGACGTGAGGAAACGACCTAGTCCCGATTCTCATTTCAGCTACTTTAATGTAAATCTAGACTTCCTTAGGATGCTTTCGGCTGACATCTGTTTAACTATTACCATTTAGATGGTCCTAGTTGAAGAATGCAGATGTGAGAAGACAGTGTGTTGGGATACTTAATTAAGAATTAATGTTTTAACATTGGGATTCGCCTTTTGAAGCAGAGGGAGTTAGCTAGTCTTGAGTTGCAGTCATTGTATAACAGAGGTGTTCACCTGCTAAGGTAGAGCCAAACTAACTAGAGCCAAAATGCACAGGACCTGCAGCTGTAGCCCCATGGTGTGAGTTTATCGAGAAACATTTTGTACTCAACAGATACCCTTGCAGAAAGGAAATCTGCTGTGTGAAAAGATTTGTATTCTTTCTTTCCTATGTTTCCTAGACACAAGGGCAGAAACAGTCATAAGTGCATAGAAATACCTTGGCTCCCAGCGTACGTGCCATTCACATCCAAACCAGAGACTTTAAGGCAAAATGGTTTACTTAAGAGAAGATGGCCAGGAAAGGGTCCCATACAGAAGCTTGCTGCCTAGCTTGGTTTTTATGATTCCCTCCTGTGGGATCAACCCTGCAGACTATGCTTCTTAGTTTCATATGCTGGATCTCATTCTGCAAATTCTCATGCGAACGTGCCTTACTGCTGTGTCTATTTTTACGAACGCTGCTGTAGTTTCCTGAGTAAGCTGTAGTTTGGCAACTGGGGAAAACCCCAGATTTTCTAATGTCATGAGGTATGTTGATTAAAACCGGAGAATATTGTTGAACTTGTGCTCTTAGTAAAGCGTACATTAAGAAAAATGTCATAGTTATTTTTAATTACTTGTTCTCATTGCTGTAGACTAGCCTCTCCCATACTTTAATGACTGTCAAATATCATTGAAAGCTCAAAAGATCCTCACTGTTACGATCCAGGGTTTGTTTAGAATGCTTAACATCTCTCAGGAGCTTCTGAAATGTGGTATTTTTTTATTTTGTGTTTTCCTTTGGTTTTAATTCTTAAATGATCCCTCTTTTCAGATTTCAAATTATAATCTATTTCCTGATGCATTGCTGACGCCCCGTGAGCCATGTCAGAAGTACTTCCAGGTCAGATGCCCTTTAAAAGATTCTGCTATGCAAATATGTGAAACTTTTCGCTTCTTTTCCTTCTTCTTCCCAGACCCATATTTCGCTTTCATTTTGCACTTACACATGAAAAAGAGCAAGCACTTTCTTTTCTTTTTAACAGTGCCTTTTTGAATAAACTCTCTCTTCACCTTTTTTAAAAGCTATTCCTATAGACAATACAATGCAAAAAAAGCCTTGTTAGAGGTAAAGACAAACTGGTCGTGCACTGTTTTCTGTTTGCAATGGCATTTTCTCTCTCCTCCTTCTAGCTCTGTAAGGTTTATGACAAGATTGAAAAACATCAATAAAAGCCATTCAAGTAATAACGCTGTTTGTATTATTATGATGCTTAGAAAATTGGGACTACTTTGTATTAAACACATTACAGTGGTGAAAGTATATTAATCTATATCTGTAGGTATGTTTCTAAATGTTAGAAGTATGCAGATGAGACTGTGATTTGTTTTAAAAAGTAAGCAAGCTAAAATCATTAATGAATTGCTATGGCAGATCTTCTACCTGCTTAAGTGCTGTCTTTAAGCACCAACATTTTAATAATGTTGTTATTCCCAGTAATGATAACATCCTAATTATTCTTAGTTTTTCACCAGAGTCCAATATTTTTTATTATAATACCCTATTTTTACTCGCTTACAACTTACCACTGTTCACCTGCTTTGGCTGAGATATACGTATCAACTCAATGATTTCTGGTCTGCTTGTCCATTTGTGTTTGCTTTTCAGCGGAAGGCAGAGGAGTTGAAAAAAGGGTGCCCTGTGCCAGTACTGTTGTCCTTGCCGGTTGCCAGGCAGCACGAGGAGCTGCCCAAGCAGGGGGGGACAGGGTCTGCCTGCGGCAGGGTGCCTGGGTGCAGGACCCCTGGCACGGGGTGTTGGTTAGCTGGTGAGCAACTCAGCACCAGTGTGCGTTAGGTACCCCTGCGGCAAGGGAGGCAGGGTCAGTAGGTGAAGCAAAATAAAAGATAAGAGAAGTCAGCGATTGGAATTTTGGCCTTGAAATTACAGGCACAGGAAGAAGTTGCATTTCCTTGAAGTTTTTAATTAGAAAGTTGGGATGTGCTTCCTCTGGGAAAAGTCATATGTTTTGGGCATCACCGTATCCTGTATAAAGAAGGGACAGGCTCTTCTTCCTTGTGCTGTTCTACTATGCAGTCTAGGTTTTTTTTCAGTGTGTTTAAGCATTTCCTTGCATTCAGATGTTTTCCTGCACTTTAGTTAGTCCTGGTCTGGTAGAACTTCTGCCCTTGAGACGCAAGACCTGCCCCTTCCTATCTGTATTTCTTATTCTCTTTTTGCCTCTTATGTTGCTTCCCTTTTTCCCACCTTTATAGCTGTTTCCGAGAGTGGAGGGATGCCGGCTGCGCGTATCCCAGAGCCTGGCTGGGAGCGCAGGGTGATGGCCAGTGAGCAGGTGCCTGTCCTTTGAGAGGACAGCCTGCTCCTCTCTGTGCATGCTTCCTGGTACTGTTTGCAAGTTCATTGATTTGATGAACGGATCATTTGAAAGGGGGTCAGGACGGGAGGTGGTGTCTAGTGAAAGGTTCATTTTGACTTTTTTCTGCTTATGATCATACACCAACCCAACTTACAAATACTGCTTGGGTCACAAAGACTTCTGGAGGCTTTGGCTCAGTCATTGATCGATGTGCTAATGTTAGTCATAAATCCATGGGGGAGCTTTTATCAAGCAGATTAGTAAAACATAACACATTTTGTTTCAATGTTTCTGTGTGCTTATTCTTACAATATTTTTGATAAGTGAAATGCTAACGGCAGGATACTAGCTAAAGATAATCTGGCAGGCAGATACTTAAGCTTTATCTACAAAGATTATTTTTTAAGAAATTTGTTCAGTGGTAAAAGTAGTGGCAAACATTGCATGAAGCAGCTCACTTGTAACAAAGAACACAAATTTCAGTCTTGTTCCAGGTTGTGGCAGTTGTATTTATTGATGAAAAAAATAAATGTTTGTTTTAATTTGCTGAAGCATAAAGTAAAATATAAGCTAGTGAAATGCAATTCCGTAAGTTCTAAAGGTCAGGCAGTGAGTCAAAATTATCCCGCCCTATTTATTTATTTTTTTATGTGACTTCCAGATTGTCAGACTTTTAACTGATTCAGAAAAATATAAAGCAGCCAGTCCATAAACACAGGCCATTTCGTGTTTTTAGATGAAAACCTGTGCTTTGGTAACACTGTGTTGGATCAAATGTGACCTTGTTTGCATTAGACTTGGTTGTTTTTAGGCAAGATGCAGAAAGCAACATTTATTGATGTATTTGAGACGTACATTTACAAAGTTCTTTAAATTTTGTGATGGTTGTGTTTTAGAAGTCTTTTGTGGCTAAAGCTGAAATTGCCTATAGGATGTTTGTTAACTGTTACCTAAGCTGATGGTTTTTGCACGGTGTGCGTGGGGTGATCCGTCTTCTGAAAAATTTGCAGTTGGTCTATACTGACTGACTGGTGCTTGAGGAAATGGCAGACATGAAAATTTAAAATTTAGTTTAAATTCTGTTTTGAACAAGTTTTCGAAGGTGTTCTAGGTGGGTGATTCAGGGAACAAAGAGTATACTCGGTCTGCTTGATTTTGAATGAACCAGAGTGATGGTTGGAAGTGTGCGGCTTTGACAGCACATCAGAGAGAAGGGAACACTAGCAACTGTGTCTGCATTTAGGTAACATGGTGAAGTGCTCCTTTTCACTCTGTTTATGTATATGTTCTTTTAAAACCCATATATTTAATTTCTTGTAAATCTGTACAGCAGTCAGTTCTGTCATTTGTCAAATATACAAGGATGCAGCACAACTCAGCTGGAATGATCTGTCATCAGCTAGCTCAAATTATAGCTTTTCATTCCTGGATAAGCCCCAGATACATTTTTATGTGCAATATAAGCAGTCTGTGATCTGAGAACTAGGAACAACAGAAAGGCTGTTTCATGCTGTGGCAGGTGGGAGTGATTTATTAATTGGCCTCTAATTTGGTTCCCAGGTGTCAAACAACAGTGACTACTACAGTATGTAAATTGAGGTGTTCATGGAGTATTTGTGCAGATTAGTGGGATTCATAAATAGGCAATACAGGAACAAATGATACTTTTTAAAAAATACACTTTTGATCATTTCTTTCATAGTCTAAAAATCTGTTCCTTCAACAAAATTATTTTTCAAAATGTGAGCTGTGCCCCTGGCTAATAAAAATCAGCAACTTGTCTACAAACAGACAAAAGAATGATTTTATTTAACTGTGGAATATGTGTACTCTGGACTAGGATGTACGTTTTATCCTTAAGTTTGAACTTTGTGAGCTGTAGAAACAGTAAGCCATCTTCATTTCTGGAGCAGTCCTTTCTAAAAGTTGATTGAATTGGAGCAGGGTATTTTGTCAAGGGATTCCCTCGCCCCCCAAAATCAAATACAGTATTGTGAAATACTCCTTGTATTCCCTGCCTTCTGACCCTCTACTTCCCCCTTCCAAAAACAAATAAGGGAAAAAAAAAAAAGACAGACAAAGAGCAGAGAAAATGCAGGTGTTAAGAGGCAACAGCTGACTGGCCAGTCAGGCTTAAATTTAACAGTACTTGAGTTCTACCCTAGATGAAAAAGGAGTAGCATCTGCCTGTGGTCTGCTTAGAAATTTCTCAAATTTTCTGCTTCCTAGTGATGAGCACTCAAGGAGTTCTTCTCCTCCTCCTCGTTGGAGGTAGAGGTGAAATACTAAAATGAAATGATGGTAAGGATGACTTCTGGACTCCCAGGCATTTGCAAAGGGCACCTCTCCTGTCCCCAAGCCTGCCTGCAACAGAATTAGATATGAAAAAACTGCCTTAAAACTGCTTTGTATAGGGTCAAGCTTTCTGCTTTTTCTCAGCTTTGTGGATCTGATGATCTATCTGTATTTTTCTGCCTCTGTTTTTCCTTATTTAATAAGCTAAGCTTTTGTCTATTCTCTTACCTACTTAGGTTGTGGTAATTTTCCTACTATAAAACAATTATGTGAAGTGCCACATCCCTTTACCAGAAGACCTGGCAAAATAGTGTACATAATGAGTGTGTTTTACGAGTGTTTCCTTTACTTTTCTAGTCGATTCCGGTGTGGACGCATTGGCAGTGTTTATGGCAAGCAGCAGCACGACGGATGTTGTGAACCGCAACAACCCCGCCACCCCGCCGAACACCCTTAACCTGCGCTCCTCTCATAATGAACTTCTGAATGCAGAAATTAGGCACACAGAGACCAAGAACAGCACTCCTCCGAAATGCAGGAAGAAATACGCTCTGACTAACATTCAGACAGCCATGGGTCTTTCCGATCCAGCAGCACAGCCCCTTCTGGGGAACAGCTCTGCCAATATAAAGCTGGTGAAGAATGGAGAAAACCAGCTCAGGAAAGCAGCCGAGCAGGGACAGCAGGATCCCAACAAAAACCTCAGTACCACTGCGGGCGTAAACGTAACTTCTGAGAAGTTTGAAGGCAAAGAGCTGATCCCGCAGGATTCTTCTGGCTGTGAAATATTACCCTCGCAGCCAAGGAGGACCAAGAGCTTCCTGAATTACTATGCGGATCTAGAGACATCTGCTAGAGAGCTAGAGCAGAGTTTTGTTGTAATGGAAGATAAATCTGCGCAAAGCAACAGCCAGGCTTCTACCGTTATTGTCAATGGGGAAGTCCTGCCCAGGAAACAAAACAAGCTGTCAAGCCCAGAGGGTGGCCAAGTTGCCACAGTGTCATCAAGCCCTGAGACTAAGAAAGACCACCCAAAAACTGGGGCCAAAACAGATTGTGCCCTCCACAGGATTCAAAACCTGGCCCCAAGCGATGAGGACTCCAGCTGGACTACGCTGTCCCAGGACAGCGCCTCGCCGAGCTCACCTGACGAAACAGGTACGCAAGTAAAGGCTGTTTACAGCCACTGTTTTCGAAATGCATTGCTTAACTCCTCTCAGCTGGTGGCTGGAAGGAGAGAGGTGATTTAGCGGTGCTTTCGGTGGAGAAGTGGATTGCATTGAAACATAAGGGCTTGCATGCAGCTCCTTGTCCACTTGGGAATGCTTGGCAGCCTCCTACTCCGTCCTAGCAGCTTTATTGCTGCTTTAGGAAAGGCACCAGCGAATGCTATAGACAGGGTCCTAAAAATACAGTAATTGCACCTTCTGCTAGTTTAGAAATAATTGCTCTTCACTAATCAGTGGGTACATATTTTGAGAAGTACGTGATTGTCTGGAGATGCTAAACTACTGATAGCTGCCTACACACAACAAACAAACTCTTCTGAGCAATAATTTTTAGGTTCAGCAAAAATTTTTACTTTTCTAATTCAAATCTTTGTGAGTGTCACCCCCTCTGCCCCCACTCATTTGATTATATTCTTTTATTTTAAAAAAAGTCCTCCCAAACCTTGGGTCATTTAATTTCTGTGTTTTGTTTTCTTTGTGCAGCAGTTCCATACAGTAACTCAGAAGCTGAAACCATGGCATTTCATGTTTTGGAAGCCTGGACTCATTAATTATTTGAACAGTAATGATGACTTCTGCACTGGCTCTGTTGTGATTTACAACACATCTCTATTTTTAAAACTCTAGAGATCTCATTTACTCTGGTTAATGGACTTTGTCAATTTTTTTATATCCAAGCCAGTATATAAAGGTACAACTTTGTCAAGATGAGGGCGTGCAATCCGATTCACAAGGGTGACGTGGGGCTAAAGAAGTTTGCCATATGTTGTTTGTATTTTAAGTGATTTCATTATTACAGTGCAGAGATTGTATACTGTTTGGAGGCCACCATGGTCCAAATCCACAGCTGCATTACATGTCAGTCATGCATAATTGCATATGACAATAGTGATTTTTATTTTAATATGTAGGGTTTTTTTAAAATTGCAACCAGAAATCCCCACTATGTGACATATAATGGATCTTCTGATCTTCTTTTTGATATGGGGAGACCTCATTGCTCTCTACAACTACCTAAAAGGAGGTTGTAGCGAGGTGGGTGTTGGTCTCTTCTCCCAAGTAACTGGCGAAAGGACGAGAGGAAATGGCCTCAAGTTGCGCCAGGGAAGGTTTAGATTGGATGTAAGGAAAAATTTCTTTACTGAAAGAGTAGTTAAACATTGGAACAGGCTGCCCAGGGAAGTGGTTGAGTCCCCATCCCTGGAAGTATTTAAAAGACGGGTAGATGAGGCGCTTAGGGACATGGTTTAGTGGGCATGGTGTTGTTGGGTTGAGCAACCAGAAATCCCCACTATGTGACATATAATGGATCTTCTGATCTTCTTTTTGATATGTAACAAACCTTTGCTGTTAAGAGAGAAAATTTTCGTGAAGTCACCTCTTCATATGCAAAATGAAAAAGTTTTCAGTTTACTAAAATTGCTGTTTGAGTTAATATTATTTCTCAGGATACTTGATATAACATGTGTGATATCACTGATAACACTTTCTGGAGAAACTATCAGTAGGCGGTATTTAGATAACTTAATGCTGAGCTTATTGGCTCCTTCTGTCTTTGTACTTGCCTGAGGTTTAGCAATGAGAAACTGTAGGTAGAAAATTTATATTAAATGAAAACTAAATTAGAGTAATTCCAAGTAGTCTAATTAAATATGGGTGGCCTAAGATGCTAAGAGCTAGCATAAGTTTTGTTTCTTTTTAAATAATGTGTTTAAAATTTTCTTCCAGAGTGTGTATTGCCACTGTATGGTGTATGAGCTCGTTCAGTACTCAGGAAGGGAGATTTTCTAAGCTGGTTTGAAGTGTTAGCAAGTTTGCTTATTTAAGTAACCAAGCGTTAGCTGAGCTGTGGTTTGTTTGCACTACGGAAATAAAGGGGAACTTTCCCCTGCTGAGTATGGGGGGTTTCCTCATTTAAAAAAAAAAAAAAAAAAAAAAAAATTCAATTAATAAAGCCCTCAGAGCTCACCACTCTTTCAAAGCAGAATAAAGGGCTTTTTTAAATTTTACGCTACCTTCACCATACTAGCAACCAATATATTATAAATAGGCAGTTACAAAAAAAGCAGATGTCCAGATATCTGACTTCAGTCTCTATAAGAAAAGAGTTAAAAATAAACAGAAAGCCCTAGAAAACCTCAATATTGCCTTTCAAGATCAAAGTGGTAGAGGTGTTTCCTTCTCATCCCTGTGGTTATTGTCAGAGAGCACCAACTAGGACATAGGACCATCATACTGGATTGGATCACTGGTTGTAAGATGCCTGTATATATAAGTATTCATGGACTCTAAAAACATCCAACTATTGCAACTTGCAACTTGCAGACATCCGTCCTTTAGGATTATTGGCTGTCTTGAATTCACCTCCACTCTGATAAAATTGTTTCATTGTTTCCAGTTTCTTTCCAAAATGGACTATGATTTGATATAACAGAAGAGAGCTAAGAAATAAGATGTTGAGTTGCTGTGGGTGCCAGGATGGCTTTTGGATGTGGTGAAACAGGCCAGTTTCTCAGTCTCCCCTGCAGTTCCTTCTGGAAGGCTGAAAATGGGGGTGCAAAAAGCAATGCTGCTGGTGTAGAAAAAAGCAGAAATCACAACTGGTGCAAATATCTCCAGACTTACTCGTTTGGGGGCAAATTTTCTAGCTGTTTTCAGGGGCTCCAGCCTTGTAGATTTGAGTGATGTGCCATCCCTAGGCAAGTTCGTATGTCTCCAACGATGTTTGAAGGGTAATAAAATAAGAGGTGAAATAAAAGTTGAGTAAATGAACTGAACGTTCTTTTTTGAGGCAGATTCAAGAGTAGTTCAGTGTTTTGCATTGTAAACACCTGTGTCTTTCCCATCTCCTTCACAAGAGTTCCTTGAGTTACTGTGGTGCTGATCAACAAGCATTTACCTCTTACTGTGCCAGGTCAAGCTACGGGAGTTACCTTACTTGCCAAATAACTTGGGTGCTACAGCAGTGGGTGGAGTTGGAAGTACTGAAGGAAATCAAGTAACACTTGCTGCTTCCCGAAACCCCTTGCACCCTTCTGCCATGCTGGGGACCGCGATGCAGTTTCTCACAAGCAGAAAATGCATCCAGTGCATTTATGTCAGTGGTGATTGACTGAAAACCCGAGAGATTCCCAGGGGACTGTATCTAGCCCTTCTGAGGCCATGGAGTAGATATGAGAACCCACATTTAGGAGTAGGCGAGAAGAAGAAACCTCAGAAAGCAAGGATTGGTGGTCTCTCGGCTCTCTTGTGATTGTCTCATCTGGTTTTAAACATCCCTTCAGTGGAGGTGTTGCCCTAACCTGCTTGGGCCATACGCTCCAGAGGTATGTGGTACTTTCCCTTGCAGTAGATCTGTCCAGTCTTTTTAGTGTAATCTTTCATTCCTCGTTGTCCCTATGTGCCAGCATGGGTGAAGGGAAGCCCTCCTGACTGGGGAGTTGTGCAGTGAGCCCTGGTGGTACCCATCCTGGAGGTCCGAGACTTTGGGCATGGCCAGGGCTCCTCACTGCCACCGCATCTGGGTGGGAGGAGAGCATTGCATGGGGTCTTCATGGCTCTGAGCTCTCCAACCCTTGTGTTTATGCTCCAAAAATAAATGTTAGGGACCAAAGGGAGAAAGGCATCTGGGAGAAAAATCTGCAAAAGTAGACAGTTTTAGTCATATGGCTTCTGGGAAGGGGAAAAAAGATACAGTTTTGAGAACAGTTAATCCATTAAAGACTGTAATCTAGCAGATACCTGGAGAATTATTAATGTTCAATCCAGAGATTATATTTAACACTTTAGTATACATAGGAATATGGTAGAAATACTGTTTTACTGAGAGGACACTGTTGAAAATGACAATATACTACTTCCAGGGCTTCTGAATTGTTTTGTCACCATCTTCCATCTGTTAACACAATTTGTTATTCAAATCCTGGAAAACTTAATGCTGTTTTGTGTTGGGGGTTTTTTGTTTTGTTTTCATGTGTTTTGTTTTGGAGGTGTGCAATTCAAAGGCCCTGAAAAATTTACCCTTAAGCTTAATTGTTTGCACTAGGAATGCGTCACTGTTTAGATAAAATCGCCCTGAACTCTCCTTAGGGCAGGATACTTTTATTTGTGGTCTAATGAAAAGGTGTTTTCAAGAGACTTGACACTTTTTCTGAATGAGGAGGCAAAAGTAAGACAACTGATTTAAAGATGCAAAAAAACTGACTGGATATTAAACAAATGTTAAGGTTGTTGATTAGTAATGTTGCTAAACAAATGTAATAGTCCATTAATAATGGGGGCACCGAACACCACAAGCACAGTACAGTATAAGAATTGTGTTTTGAGGAAACTCTTCTCTCTCCTCCAAAGAAATGATCTATATCTGCTTCTTGACAAGAACTACATTGACTTCAACTTTCAGAGATTTTTTTTTTTATAAGGACTTTCAGCTTTCCTCCACTGGCCTCCAGACTGACTGCACCCATCCAGCTGACTCTGCTGTCATTCAGAGAGCATGTTGTGGGTTACCAAAGACCAGCTCCAGATGTCTTTAAAACTGCAGATGGCACAGAGCTGGTTTTAAATCAAGGCGAATGCTTCCTCCCCCCTCTTGAGAAAATTTCCTTAGTCTAGTTTTCAAAGGAAATGCATCTTGTGTTATTACACCCTCTGCCTACTCTTTGTCTCTATGTATTCACCAGTTTCACCTACATTTTATGAATGAGTGTGTTGCGAACAGCAGGAGTCTAGCGGACACCCCAGAGCCCAAACCTAGGGGAGGATGAGGGTGATGCTAGTGCTGTTTTCTGTTTGTGGCTTTTTTTTTTTTGAGAAGCAGCAGAATGTCTGTAGAAGGCAGACATGTTTCTTAAACTTCCTGTCACCTGAGAAACAGTTTCAGTGGTAAATTATCCCTCCTTAGTGAAGTGCAGCTCTCTATGTAATAAT